ACCACTAGTGACCGGCCACCAACTGGAGGTGGCACCACTCTCTGGGCCATCCAGCCAGTTCTTAACCCAGCAGAGAGTGTCCCTGTCCAAGCCATGGGCTGCAGCTTTTTCAGGAGTGTGCTATGGGAGATGGTGTCAAAGGCTTTGCTGAAGTCCAGGTAGACTATATCCACAGCCTTCCCCTCATCCACCAAGGTTGCACAGGGCTTTACACGTCTACAGCCAGTCTAGTTTCTGCCAGCTTCCTGAATGGAACGTTAGCACTGTTCTGCCAAAAAAATTTGTATTTGTAGAGGAAGAAAAAGAATGAGAAACAAGAAACAGGAGTTTTTGCATTATTTGACAGGGTTTCCTGCATCCCAGTGCAGGAGCAGTCAGCAAGCAGCTGTGTGGTCCTTAGTTGCTGACTGGGGTTAAACCATAACAGTATCAACTGCACTCATGTAGTTCATATAATCATTCCAGTAAAACAGAATCATAAACCAATTAGTGTAAAAAAAAACAGTGAGAACTTAGTTTAGATTAAGCTTGTGTAAAAAAACACAACCAAAGTTGAATTTCTCTATGAGTTTCTCTATTGGCAGTGCTTAGCCAATTGTTCAACAAGGGCAATAGATGGTTATTAGATTCAGCCATGTATTCCTACTTCTGAATTACTGCAGAGTCTGTTTTCTAAGACCCTGGGAGAACACTCACTGAAGGTAATATGGAGGTCAACTCAGGATTAAGCAACAGGCACATACTATGTGACTGAAAGAACTGACACTAATATTTTTGAAGTGGAAACAGCACATACTGAGCAACCAAACCAAGCAGTTTTGAACAGATGATTGCTTGGAAAAATTCAAGGTCTGAGTTATGTTCAAAGTTATTTGTTCCGAACTCAGGACAGAAAAGCCCTCTTACCCAAGCTCACGAAATCTTTGCAGATCATTACCTCTGTTGCTTCTTTTCTTTTCCATGGAGCAAAGAGTCTAGTAGTTTGATCAGAGCCAACACTGATGATAAATTCTCCTTCTGGATCCCACTTTACATCCTCAACACTGTTAAAATGTCCTGAAATCACAACTTCTGGAGTCCATTCTTTCTATTAAAAAAGGCATGCAAAGAAGGAAAGAGTTTTCATTTGACCAATTGCTGTATTCTAACCAAAAGTACTGACATACTTACTAAGAAAGCAAGAAAAAGACATTTGAAACAGCAATTAGAACTCAGAGTGGCTAAAGAGACACACATACTGATTTATTGCTCCAGCTAAGGAAACCTGTGTTATAGGTTCAGTTGTGAACAAAGCACAACCACAAAAGAGTTCAGTCTATTCCACCAACTTCATAATCCTCACATAAGAAACAGGTTTTAGTGCATGGGAGATTTCAACTCCCTAATGTGCAGGAGTGAGACTCCTACAGAGTATTATATTCAGAGAAGGACTATTTCAATCATAAATTTTAAATTGTACTGTTACACTTTTCTATTAATAACAGAAACTTACCTCAAGCGACATAAAAGCCCAAGTCTTTTAAGTAATACTACTAACAAAAAAAACCCAACATACCTTATTAACTGTAGCCTGTTTCCAAAGGTGTAGTGCCCCATGAAAAGCATGAGCAACGATCATTGAACCATCTGGACTAAACTGGCCGTCAAAAAATCCAAGGGTGTTGCCACCCACTTCACCTACCCGCACCTGCATTAATGATCAGAAGTGAAATATCCATGAAAACAGCCTTCCATTCATATAAAATCCATTCATATTTCATGAGATGAAAATTTACCTATAGACAAGAGTTCACATTACACACAAAAATACACTTAAAGAACATTTTAATTGTGAAGTTAAGCACTGCAATATCATGGGAATTAAAGTTGTGTGCCACTTTAATGAAGCCTCCCTTCAGAGATATTTCAGGATAGGATGCCCCGAGGAAAACAAAACACTGTATTAGATGAGATGAGAACCCAATTGTTCCATGTTTCAGTTCAGCCTGTTGGATGAAACAGTTCCTTGTCATCTGTTGCCTTGCACAAAATGGAAAAATGGCCCACAGAAACAATGGTTCCCAATTTTTCTTTTTCTCCTTAATTTCCAAGATTCTCTAACATATTTTCACTTCCCTGTTTCTCCATGAACCCCATCAATTTGAACCACATTCCTACTGTGGCATATTTTGGCATCTGTGTTGTTCTTCCCTTACAACTTTGCATGTATGTAGGCATGTATGCACACATGCATTATGGTTGCTCTAGTGCTCTTCCACTTTTTGAATTACATGAAAATATAACTTTGGTAATATTTTAAAGTTTTATTCAAGAGATGAGACCACAATTCCTTTCAAGCTTTCAATTCCCCCATTCTTATACAGTTGCTTAAAATCACAATGAAATGAACCGATACTTCATTTCAAATGGCACAGGACTAGTAGACCCATTTTATTAACATATTTTAAAAAAATACTACTTATATTGAAGTGACTTTGATATGCCATGGTAGAGGCAGAATTGTAGTCTCACCTCTGAGCAGGGGGATGAATTTGTGAAGACTTCCTGTTCATCATATCAAAATGACAGAGAGAAATTGGGGTGTTCCCCTTGTGCCCTTCCTCCCTTCAGGCTTCCAGCTCAGATTTCCCTCTCTTGATGTAAAACGGATTGTTGCAGTTTGCATGTCTGATCTGAACTGCAAAATGCATGTTTGTGGTCAAACCAATGCAAAGAGAATATAAAATGAAAAAATTAACTTGCAACAAGCTTTACTTCATAATGGATTTTTAGAAGCTTTACAATTAGGGACATCAAATGGCATCTCTGTTTGATCGGCCTATTATGAACTAATTTCTACTTCAAGTACAAAGGCACCAGAACTTTTCAATGGAATAGAGTCAAATTAAATACACTACTGTAATTCTCACTTTTTCACTCAAGAGAGGATTAGAACTGTCTTTATGACAGGAAAGATCATAAACAATAGCTGGCACAACCCAAGACAAACCATTGCAGCTCAACTACTGCAATCTGGAAACCCAGATCAACTGAAAACAAAGACATCAGTGTAAGGACTAGAGAAATCTGGTTGTACTACTTGTTTATTTATGATGATCCATATTAGAACAGTTTTCAAAATACTACAGTGATAGATGAGTATTCAGCTCTAATGGAAGAAAAACCTAATGACAACATCCATGAACAGGTTACTGTGAGAATAAAACCAAGTTTGTGAGTTGCGTGTCTGCTACTCTGCAGTAACTACTTGGGTTACATTCCCACCAGGATTAACTACAAATAGTTCAGGAGGGTTTCTTCCTCCTCTTCCAGGAATACACAGCATGTCCTACTGTGCAGCACCTGTCTTACTACACTGTGAATGACAGTTGAGCACAAACACCCCTTAGAAACTCCCCAATATAGTAATAAGAAAACAAATAAGCAATAAAAATCTGGTTGCATCACTTTTTTTAAAATATAGTTTAACTTGCAATACAGTATCAGAATGACTATTTTTGCAGGAAAACACTTTTGCCTTTCTCTGTCAGAATTTATTATAGAGTTTTTGTTTCCTACAATACACACATAATGCTGAAAACACAACTTGAATACAGTACATATTGCGAGAAAGTCGAACACTTGCCTGTTCTAGCCAAACTCCAGATTCTTTATCGGGTTCCCAGATGATCATAGTTTTGTCCATTGATGCAGATAATATCCTCATTGGCTGTTGCATGCTGCCATCTACAGCACAAGGAAAATGATTACCCTACAGCCTAGGAGAATACTCTCTAAAATAATTTGGTCATACTGAAATTCAAACACACTGAGAAAATTGTTCAGCATAAGGGACGTGCAATGCAGCACTGAACTGCCAGACTTAAAGGCTCTACATTCTTGCCAGGCATTCATTAGGAGGGATTGTATTTTCCAGCCATAATTGCCCAAAGAAAATGTAAAACATATACATGAGAACAACCATATTCCACTCTTCACTCACTCCAAACTGATATTGAATTAAACATAATTTGGAGGAAAAGATAGGGTTTCACAGAGAGAATGCACAGGAGATCTCAGTTCCATTCCTTAAGCAAGTTTTTACCAAGACATTTACAATTCAAAACAAGATAATATCTCAGTATTTACTGGGGTTTTTTTTCAAAATTGTTAGATTCACTACAGAGTTCAGTAGATTCTAACACCTTGTAATGCATATAGTAGTCAGGACAGATCCAAAAAATGCAGAGAAACACTCCAGAAAAATGCCAGTCAGAACAGGAAAGAGGGAACTGGCTCATCAACCAGTTGCAAAACCTGTAGAACCACTGAGGAACTTTCCTTGAGAAAAGATATCGGTGGGCATCTCGTGAAGAGATACCTTGTGTCAGCACCAGACCTTCCACCTTCTGCACTGAGAATGTCTCTCAGATCAGTCTGCCTCTACTGAAAATCTGTTTTGGGGAACCCAAGATTGGGCAGGCCACAGGACACAAGCAGCTGCATACATGCAGAAGCATGATGTAGGACACCTGGAAAACTTCATGGTCTAACAAGACATTTTTCAGACTGCAGTGCAAGACTGACAGGCCTACATTGTGCCCAAACCTTGCTTTAACAGGCAAAATCTTATACTGGTGTCTAATTAAAAAAAAAAAAAAAAAACAACAAAAAAACCAAACCAAAACAACACAATTTAACATTTTAACATTCTAATGGCATTCTGCTGTTCAAGTATTGCATATACGCTGTAAGGATGTCCTGGTATCACTGATGTCACCTGCATCAGTAACTCTGAAATACATCAGAAAAAAGGCACCTTTGCCAATACAAATACACAAGGGCATTCTGATTGTGCAAACATGCCAAATCAAGCATCTCCTTCCCTTTTACAGTAGGCATATAACAGCGAATCAGTACTGCAAACAAGGCTGCCAGAACTTCAGGATTTTCAAAAGCAAGATAAAGACTAGAGCAAATGCAAAATTAAATTTTAAATAACACTTTTTCAGTGAGAGTCTGTATTAATGCCTTTAAGCTACATGCTAGAGAAAACTGATACTCCAGGAATCCCATTATCTTAATGCACGGAAGACTGAAATTAATCTTCTGAACGTCGCTATTTGTTCCTTTCTACTCCAAGAAAGGAGGGCTCCTGAGGTAATGCATACCTTCTAAATACATGTATCAAGTTAAACTATTAGAGCCACTAATTCCCGCTGATTAATCAAATTAATTTGTATGCCATAAACAATAAATCAATTACAATAAAGTCATCACAGCTCAGTTATTTTATTTCACTCTTGTGCTGGTTTGGGCTGAAGTACAGTTAACTTTCTTCACAGTGGCTAGCATGGGGCTATGTTTAGGATTTGTGCAGAACACAGAGTTGCTAATGCAGAGATGTTTTTGTTACTGCTGAGCAGAGCTTACACAGAGTCAAGGCCTTTGCTGCTTTCCATACTGCCACGCTGGCAAGGAAGTTGGGGGGGCATGGGAGACTGGGAGGAGACACAGCTGGGACAGGTGACCCAAACTGACCAAAGGGATATTCCATACCACATGACACCATGCTCAGTATATAAGGTGGGAGGAAGAAGGAGGAAGGGAGGACATCTGGAGTGATGGCGTTTGTCTTCCCAAGAAACTGTTACGCGTGATGGGGCCCTGCTCTCCTGGAGATGGCTGAACATCTCCTGTCTGTGGGAAGCAGTGAATTAATTCCTTGTTTTGCTTTGCTTGTGTGTGTGTGGCTTTTGCTTTCTCTATTAAATTGTCTTTATCTGAACCCATGAGTTTTTCTAGCTTTTACCCTTCTGATTCTATCCCCCATCCTGTTAGTGGAGGAGTGTCTGAGTGTGATTCTTGGTTGCTAGCTGGGGTTAAACCACGACAACTCTTTAAAGAAAACACTAGTACAAGGCAACATCTGTTTACTAATAAACCATTATTTGCAGAATTTAAAGGTTTTCACAGTCTACAGAGACAAGTGAACATGCAAACACAATACAAAGTTACTGTCCTCTGTGTACACAACACTAACAAAGCTGCTAAGTGTTTGATGTTTTTTTACCTTTGGAAATGGAAGGTTGCCAGTGAACTGCATACACCCAGTTTTCATGACCAGCCAACACCGACTCCAGAGTAACTGCGTATGATGTATCAGTATCTACCACAAATCAAAGAGAAGTACATTTCTTTCTAAAAGCCAAGACCATATCACTGCTGATATTTCAGTTAAAATAAGCAACTACTTTCAACATCAACCAAGTATCTCAATAGCTTATTGACACTGAACAGCTCCTTGAAAACCTACTTTGCCACAAGCCCTGAGCACCAGACTGATGCCAAGAGGTCAGTTTATAGCCTTAGAGTGGTATCACAGAATTCCTGGAGAACTCTCCAGCAATTTTCAAACAAATGCTCTGACACTGGCCCTACCCATAATCTTAAGCATATTTACATCTCCAAATGACTGTAAATACAAGCATTAAGATACTTCAAATAATGAATCAGGATTTGCAGCAAGCAGCATGAACACTTTTTACACAAACCATCATACAGACCTCATTATATTACCGAGGTTGCCTAACAATTTACCCCCCCAATGTCAGCAATGTGAGCCTCTGCTGTTACAGTGCTCAAACAGTATGTTAAATGATTCTAAAGTAAGCCTACACACACTTTTCTGTTCTCTCCAGTATATTTCTAAGGTTTAAGTAATAGTAGCACCTCTTAATTCATTGAATTCCAAAGAAAATTAAAGGTATACTATCAAAGTGGAGGAGAACTGCATAACAGCTTACCTCCCACAGACTAATGTATGTGCTACATATTGCATTTGGAATACACATAACTATGCCTGTTGATATTAAGCTCTTTCACTACTTTACCATCTTTTCTAACACATCATTACCTTAACATAGTCATGGCTTTGAAACAGTAACTCCACTTTTTCTATCTGCTAAAAATAATGCAGTCAAATTCATCTCAGTCTTTCTATACAAGAAACAAACCAAATTAGATGATAAACATTTTGTTATCTCCCCTGAAACCATGAAGAGATATACAAGTGAGAAGTTGTGCAAGAGAATTTTAGAGCTGTTACCTACCTTTGACAGTAAAAATATTCTCTTTCAGTCTTAAGGAATTATCTTCAGTTTCTGGAAGTTGCTTTGATTTTGTACACACTTTCCAAATTCTTATCAAACAATCCTGAGCACAGCTTGCTAAGAAAAGGTCTTCACCTATTTGGTTTAAAAAAAGAAAAAATTAGAACCATTTTTTCATTGCTTTTTCATTGCAACCACTGCCATGACTAACCTACCATCTTTCCAAACACACGCTACAGCATTATCCTAATTTTTCTTATTGTACACAGTATCATGTACTGCTGTTTTATTTCAACATCAACTCTCTTTCCCATTCCCAGCTTGCTACTAGTTTATAACATAACTGACTATGGACTTCTAAGACATGGAAGACATGGTAAATACTGTACATGTTGTACCTATACTTCCCTACTACCTACGGCCTTTGCTCCTGAAATTGTCAGCATCAATACTCATGAAGAACTCCTTTCCTTTCTTCAGGGTTGTACCATCCTCTAATTCCATCTATTTTATTTATGCCATTGCAAAACTATTTGATTAGTTAACGTCTCAATAGGTTCTCCTCTTAACTTCCTATTCTTAAGAAGAAAAATGCAGGGGTGGAAGCAGGAGAAGAAAAGAGACATCTACTATTCCCTCCTACTCTCTCCACTTTGAAAAAGTAGCCAAATACAGACATTTCTATGTTGAAAAGGACAAGTTGCTGAAACTCCAATTTGTTTGCATTTAGTTACTACTCAGGTAAACATACTTGAAGCAAGGAAAAAAATATCTTTGTGCTTTAACAAGACACAAAGTCACATCTTGATTTTTAATTTTAGTACCACCACCTCAGTAAAACAAACATCCCAATTACAACAGCTTAGGTGCTACAGCACATCAGTTATGTGTTGGAGGGGTAAAACAGTAGTACTGTCATTAAACCAGCATTCCATTACTCATCTATCATACTGACCACAGACTGCCCACTCAACGCCTCTGATCCAATCTTCATGGCCAGAGAGTATCAATGCTTTCTGAAACTGAATAAAGATTCCTGTTACATCCCAGAAATGCACTTGATTACCATGCACATATCAGCAATGAGCTTTGGTTTTTCAAGTCTTTCATATTTACAGCTTCTATTATTTGAAACTGGAAAAAAAATCAGCTGCTACTAAGGACAGTAATTTATGGATAAATACTAGATAAGCATTTTTGGTGTTGCCACCATTGAGCAAACACATCACATTGTGGCATTTCACATATATGAGCAGGAAAGAATGTGAATTTACGGTGTACACCTTCAAGAGGCTGCAGTCTCTCTATGGAGAGATGGAAATTTTTAAAGTTTTATCAGGCTTCTTGTGGCACACAAAGAATAGCATAGTGCAGGTCTGATGTGGCAAATAATTTCTATTATTTGTGTGAAGTGGAGACAACTGCAGATGATAAGGAAAATGAATACATCGACTATAAAAAGAAGAGTAAATACTTTGAAACTATTTCAAGAATAAATTTTTAATCATTTACAGGGACAGAAATCTTCCCTATGCTACTTAAGTTTATTGACTAATTTTCTAAGGAAGTTATAAATCAAGAACTGTATCTGCTGATGGGTAACTGCATGAACACAGGCTCAGGAACACAGGAATGCAAACACAGTGTGGATTCCCTTTTAAGAAGTTTCATTAGTAGTATATTTTCATACATAACATATATAATATTACCATTTTATTTTGATTCAATTAAGGTACAAGTGTTTACTGCTTACTTAGGATTGAAACCAATTCTATTTTTCTTTGCCCAGAAACAGCCCTACTTCCATCACATATTTTTAGCCCAAGTTGACTTAAAATATCTGCAATAGTCATTACAGTTAAAATGTAGTATAGTTTAGCATGAATAACTATCACATTATTTTTGGCATTATATTCTGCTAAATGCCTTGCCTAGCCCTACTAAGAGATAAGATTAAGTGACAGTCTCTGCTATCAGCATGAGTTTGCAACTGAGGTCTCTCTTCCTATCTGGGAAGAAAAAAAAAAGAAAAAAAAGAAAAAAGCCTTTCACATTGTGTTGCTGCTCTTTCTCTAAATCTGTCTTCAGTTTCAGAAAAGATGGCGAGTCACAGTAACTCAACCAAAGGAAAAATCTGTGTGTATGGAAAAAAACCTATACTCACAAATAGGTGTCTCTCTCTTTGGTCAGTATTTCTGATATTCTCCAAAAATCACCTTCCCGTCAAACAGTGTACTCCATTTCTCCTTGTTACATATTAGAAGTCACAGAATCATAGAACCATTTAGAATGGAGAGGATATTAAAGACCATCTAGTTCCAACCCCTCTGCAATGGGCAGAGACACTTTCCCACCAGACCAGGTTGCTCAGAGCCCCATCCAACCTGGCCTTGAACACTTCCACAGATGGGGCATCCCCTGCTTCGCTGAGCAACTTGTTCCAGTGCCTGACCACCCTCATCGTAATTTCTTCCTCATATCTACTCTAAACCTACCCTCTTTTAGTTTAAAGCCATTGCCCCTTGTCCTATCACTACATGCCCTTGTAAAAGGTCCCTAAAATTAAAGAACACTCTATATATGAGATACATGACCACTACAGTTGATCAGAAACTTCCAAATCACAAAGTTTTGGTCTTTAGAATGTGTTCTCACAACCATCTAAGCCTCATCTGGCTAGTCACTTCTACTCTCACTGGCACTTGTGGATGTGGCATTCCAGACAGATGTTTATGTTAAACACCCAACAGGTTATGTGTAAATAAAGGCAGGAACAGCCCAGGGAGCAAGATCAAACAACAACCTAAAGATTTTTCTAAAGACTACATGTTTCCGGCCATACATTTAAAAAAATTTAGCAATTCCTATTTCAGATAACACACATATGTATTTATTAATTGATATGATCTTTGACATAACACTCTGTATTTTCTATTCACCAAGGTTAGTTAGTAAGTTTATTTCCAACCAAAAGACTGTTTCAGACTGAACTGTTGCTAACACTCTTCTCTTTTATGGTTCCTTTTATGTTAAACAGTGTGCATATCTCCTGAAATTTGACTTTAATATTCATCTAAACACACATCTAATCAATTTCCTTTTTTAAAATTTCAAGGTGTTGTAGTGTGGAGTTTTTTTTAATTACCCTCATCATCTCACATCAAAGAGAACCATTAAGAGAAGCAGCCATTTGTTTTCTCTTTAAAGAGTATACCTAATTACTTTGAGATTATTAATACTACCCCAGCTTTCTAAGTCATTTCCCAAATAGGCTTTTAGGCACTACTTAGCTTTAAGTCGAGCATGCAGTTCTTTTGTGCATTCTTAACCAGTAGCTCAAAGTCTATTAATTTTTATAGGCTTCCATTGAATAGTCCCATTGAACTTGGTGGCAGTTCACATGATACAAGGTAGAGGTGTCTGAATTTAATTACCTCATATTCACTCCTCAGCAGTAATACTAGCACCAGGTGGTGTATGGGGCCTCATTGCTGAGGGATGTCCCCAAACCTCTGTAAATATGTTCATTCCCTTAAATGAGAAACTCATGCTGCTGTCTTTCCCATACCTATCCAATCATCCTCAACTCTGCACCTATCTGAACAGTGTCAGTACAGTGGCTTGAAAATAGAGGGTGAACACAAGGTCTATTACCATGTACAGATGGAAGATGTCTTGAAGCATGATGAACATGACACTCTTACTCATACGACTTAGTTTTAGGAAGTCCTGTGAGGAGCATAGAGTTCGACTCTATCCTTATGGGTCCCTTCCCACTTGAAATATACTATAATTCACTCAAAGTTTTCAAGATATTGCTCCCCATAAAAGTAAAAACTGAGCAAGCAGTGTTGCTGTTATGCCTTCTGCTTGAGTTTTTGGTATTGGTTTTGCCCTTTTAAGTCTATGTCTGTTGGTATCACATATGCAGTTTGTTCAGATGCATTCTGTTCTAAACTTGAATCAATATGAAGCTTCTTGCAGACACACATGGTCATTATTTTTAAGTAATTCAAAGTTTATATTATTTTTTAGGTTACATTTACCAGTATTTTGAACTGTCATTCTTCTCTTTTTTACATATTTTATTTCTATAGTCTAATATTTCTCCTCCTCCATTTCAGTTTTCCACTTGGCCATCACCAGATACATAAGTTACAGCACCAACAGTTAAATCTAACAAAACATCATGATCTGACTTGCCTATTTCACAGGCTTTCCCATGCCTCTTAACTAATCTCTGAACATTGTTGCTTAGCAGCAATCTGGTGTCCTTTCTTTTAGCCAAAGAATAAAGCTGTTCTGTAGGCAGCAAAACTAATAAAGCCAGGTTGGCTGTGGACATGCTCAGCACACTCTGCACAACTAATTTTGCCCACAATTTGGGTATATCTCCTTCAGGACCAGGCCACTAGGTATTGTTGGCAAATTTGGTTACAGAGGTATAAGTCTTCTCAGTTTTACTCCAGCAAATGCTAGATGTGATAACCCTCCTCTGTGTAGCTGTTAATCTCATCACATCAGAAAGAGTCTAAGTTATCTTTGAGTCTCCTATTCCACTTTTCAATTAGGTCAAATTATTTGGGTGAAACCTAGTCAAAACATGCATTGCACCACCTTCTCAGAGAAACCAAGCTCCACATAGAAATGTTTTGGTTTAGAGCTCTGTTTTGAACCTCTGGTTTACTTATTTCTCCTCCATGGGCCATATCCATAGATGTTATACCTCAAGCAACAAGACATATAATGGTTTCTGAAAGATTTTTCCCTGGTTACTTTTATAAATCAATACCCTCTTCCAACAAATCAGAAGTTTATTTTCTCTCTACTGCTTAACACAGGAAGGGATCTATGTGTAGGGAGTCTTAAAAGATTTGAAGCCTGCCCACTCAATTCCAAAAATCAAGCAGTTTTTAAGGAATAAATATATTTCAACTGTAATATTAATGTGTTTACCAAAAGGTAGCCTGAATTAGCTAACTGAAGATGCCTCATCCTCTCTCAGAGTATAACAATGACCTTTGCGTTTCATTAGAATGAAATACTCGTTTTATTGACAGCAGCCACAAAAAATCTTATTGCTGTATATGGCAGCACAAAGTGGCAAAATTATCTATATAGTAGCTTTCATCTCTCAAAAAAAAATAATATTATCTATTCTTCAATCTCTAAAGGGACCGTGTTTGAACAAATCCAGAAGACTAAGTGGTTCCTACATATGCCAGTTTGAATAGGAGTTCCTAAATGGTAGCTTCAGTGGTGCATTGGGGGCAGTGTTTGAGAGTTTTTTTAAAAGGAGAGAGAGAGAGAGAGAGAGAAAATAACATTGACTTCTGTTTTGGCAAACAGTCATTCAACACATACTTTAGAATCTAACAAAACCTCTGAACAGATGCAAGAGAGGACATAATGTCTTTCTAGTGCTCCAAATGAACAACTGTCCGTATGAAAAACTAAAGATTGCCAGCTTCCAAACAAAACATGAGAAATGTGCATGGTTTTGGGTTAGATACTCCTAAACAGACTACTTTTGACATCCAAAAGCATTCAAGCATAAAGGGCATGCTTAGCAATAAACATAAAATTCCTGAGATGTATATCTTAACAGTATTATTGTAAGAATTCATAGACTGAAAGTAACATCATTTCCATATGAAGCACTCAGTGCATGGATACTCAATAAAGAAGGACAGTCACAGCTATTTTGTATCAGTGGGAATAAAAACATAGGCTATCTTCACACAGGGGAAAATAACCCTAACACTTTCATACACTGAATTCAACTTCAATATTCTACACATGCATTTCATCTTTACCTAGAAAAATGGATGAACTACTTGAAAAGAGGTGGTTGTATGTGATAACTATCTAGGGCCATATAGTACCTACTGAACAACTTAAAAATCAGCAGCAAATATGAAAAAAAGCAGAAAAAAAATCAGTAATGTTCCGAACAAGAGACAAAAACTGTAATTACCTGATCATTCTGCTGTATAAACAAACTTATTTTGCAGTCATCACCACCCAGTACTGGTACTGGAAAGAAAAGGAGTCTTCATTACTCAAGCTACAAAGTTTAACATTCTAGGATATGAAACATATCTATATATATAATATAAAAAATAAAATAGTATTAGGAAATATATTAATACTAACAACCAAGCAAGTGTGATACCACTTCTTTGTATTTTCTATATTAGATGCCTAATACAATTTGAAATAAAGTAGTGTCTCAAGAACACAAAACCTCAGAAATTATTCTGGTGTGTAAACAATATCTACAAATATTTAAGATGCTAAAAAGAGGAGTTTCCCACAAGCTCACATATCTGTAGAAAGTTCAAGTATCAAGAGTTTTTCACTTCATTATATTTTATTGATAATAACAGGCATTTGCTCTAATCACAGAAGAAAGCAGCAAAATCAAAATTAGAATCTAGAATTTTAGCAGTTGGAATGAACCTTACACATCATCTAGTCCCAACTCCCTGCCATGGGCAGGGACACCTCCCCACTAGGCTAGGTTGCTCAAGGCCTCATCCAACCTGGCTTTGATTACTCAGAACTAATGCAGTTCAAGTTCCTAAATCAACTGAGGTAAGATGCAGTGAGCAGAACTATTACTCAGCAAATAAAAAGACAGACCAAAAAAATGAAGACAGATCACCAAAGATATGAAAGCAATGAACACTATTATACACCTACTCAAGTCTTGAGTAGTAGCTGACTTCCACCAGCTGTCCTAAAAAGTGATCAAAACCCATGTCAATTGAATTAAACCAGACAAAGTTAAGTCTAAGGGTAAAACAAGGGAAGTTAAGCTGTGTATTAATTAATCTCTCCCACAGAAGATGATAGGGAAAAAATAGTTAACCCTTACTCTACTCTTTATGGATCATAAGGATGAAGTAGGACTGCTATGGACTAAAACAGCAAATTGACTCATTATAAAATTATGAAGAAATAAGTTATCAGGGCCAGACATTTGCATTTCTTACGTCTGGGTAGAAAACAAGATACTGAATTTCACTAAAATCAACTACTTCCTTTACAAAAAAAACCCACAACACCAAATGCCATTCCTAATTTTATCTTTACTATGCATAGACCAGAAATCAACTTGAATATTCATAATATGTTTGTGTTCTACGCTAATTTCATCTTTCTGCTTGTCCCAAATCTGTGCCTGGTTATCTGCTGTTCTCTCACACTTCTAAGGCACATTCCACATTCTTGTACCTCCATCACTTGCTGCTTCTCTCCAGCCTCTGAGTCACCTCCATCTCCTCCTTGGCTTTACACAGGGCTAAAAAGACTTGCTTTGGACTGGAGGTGATGAGCCCTTTTGAAAGAAGACCTGGTCTTTAGGTCCACAGAAATGGGGCAAGAGTGAGGTTTTCTTCCACAAAATACAATACAATACACATTCTTGGAGACATATCACCCTTTCCTGAGAAATATATTTTATGGAACGTTACTGCAATTCCATATTTACTCAATGGAATGACAATTATCATCCAGTTGCTGTAGCAGATAAATGCAAACTGTTTCACTCAAAAAGTTCTATCAACATATAACTGGCAAAAAGAGACTAGTATACAGTTTTTCCCAAAAATGTTCAAGACTATTAGAACTTGGATCTGATAAAGTCCTGCAAAGGGAATAGAAAGAAAAATTTGGAACAGTAAAGCTTTTTCAAGTTCACTCTTTTTTTATTTGTTGCAATTCAGTTCTGAGGAGACAATTCTTTACTGTCAGAGGCCAAGATATGTCATGAGTATTATCAAGGTGGTGGGAAGAATCACAGTATATGATAAAAGAGCCGATCAAGATTTGTAAAATAGCAAATCCTATTCCCAGGACTTTAGAAATGGAGTTTCTGCAGACACTGCAAGGCAAAAAAGCAACCAACCAAAACAGCACAAAGCTTTTCTTCAAGACTCAGAAACAAACGTCCAGAAACTTCTTCACTAAGAGGCTGCTAGTAAAGTGCTTAAGCTACATTCCAGCAGCAAATAACTGGTCAGGTTTTTATGAGCAGTCTGTCAGTTTTCCCCATTTGACTTCTTGACAAAAATGGCTCAGATTTATCTGTTTTTAATAATTTATTTTCAAGGACAATCAGTTAAAATACTAGGCGTCATGAACCTGAACATCTTTTGAAAGTTAAAGCATCCACTGAGCATGAATCAATTTTCTACGCAAGCTTTAAATTTCTTTTCTTGGTGAAATTAGTGGTTACTGTAAATGCTTCTAGTTCAGAACAGTTCACAATTTTCAGAAAAGCAATTCCCTATTTAATTCCTGACTTAAGAAATGCAGATTGTCCTCAAGAGAAAAGCTTCTTTAAATCTTATTACAGCTGACAACGAGGAGTTTGTAAAGATTTCAAAGCAACTCCTAAAGTTTTCATAGATTGTATTTCCCTGAGGCTCATTAAAATTCCAAATTGCCATCACAGATTAATGTTTCTGACAAAATGATCAGCAGTGATATTTTTAATAATGTATTTTAAGCTACTTTATTTAGATTTCAGAATTAACATACTGCTCAGTTATAGGGACTCCTAAGTTAGGTTTAGGGAGAAAACACTGAACATGGTTTGGCTACATTAAAAGCCCATTTAGAAATATTTCTGGTGGAAATCTGTAATGATACATTTATGGCTCAAAATCTAAACTGTTTCTTGACAATTCTAGCAGCACAGATCATTCATATTGGAACTCACTAAAAGAAAAACACATCTAGGAATTATATTTTTAATTCCATACAAAACCTATGCAAATAATTACTCATTTGAAAATAATTTCAGGTTTTCAGAAAAGCGAAGTACTCTTTTTCAGGTTATGAGCACTGTGCTGCTTTGGATAATAATTTGAACTGGGATGAGAAGGGGCCATAAAGGACTGTCCTGCTCTCAACATAACTTTAGGCTTAATCACTGGGTCTTAGGGACACTGGGAACTTTTCCTAACAAAACCAAATGCTTGTTATTCCACCATTTAAAGAAGCTCCAAGCACTGCATGCAATTTTGGTTTCAGAAGAATTTAGTTTTAAGAATTAATATCATAAACTTAATTTAATCATTTCCAAAATGAATGGTAACTTCTCCTATCTACAACATGATTTCAACATTATACAGATGCAATACTCGAGTGTTACAGTGATAATTTCTTACATGCACAGTATCATAAATGAAGAAATAATCTATTGCTTTGCAATATGAATGTTATACTCATTAAACTGGCACCACAAACACTTCACTTCTAACGAAATTTCACACTGAAGGTGTGTCTTTTAAATTCATACCAACAAGCATCTGCTAGTATGTTTACAGGAAAAATAGAGGCTTAAAAGCTCTAGCAGTGCAGACACTGCTTTTGGAAGCAGACACATTCTGAAAACAGACACTGACATTCTCAAATGGGACAACACAGCTTGATGGAGCTTTCCTATCTCCCACAATTATCACAAGTCAAAGAATAAAATAAGCTCGTGAATAACTGCTCTTGGGGGCATATAATCAGAACAGCTTATCAACGTGGAACATATGCAGCAAAAAGTGGAAAATTCTAGACACAGTAAGAAAATTTAGTACTTTCTCTCTTGGGAGCCTGACATGCCTCAATCCAGGTAAAAGACTCTAATGATACTTAAACACAAACTTAATTCAACACATGTATTTGGCTTGAGGATACATTCAGTAAAAAAACCCTCAAACTTCTACATACTTGCAACAAAACAATGTGTCTGTGAGAGTCTACAAACTGAGCATTTATGTTAATAGAAAGTCATGCAAACCATATTGAGCAGTCAGGTTAAACTGTTCAACATCTCACTTTTTCACATTTAAAGACTGAACAGGTGATAAACACTGCTCATTCATCTGCAATTTTTGATGCAGGCCTGCAGATTCTTTTTCTGGATCTTGCCCTTCAATTCAAACAACTAGAACAAACGTATGCAGCAGCACCACAAGGAGGAGGTGAAGCTAACACCACCATCCTAACCCATTCACTTACAGCACTGTTAGCTCTTTTTTAGCTCCCTGTCTCAAGAGTTCAACTGAACAACTCCATCATTCTGAAGACCTTGTAATCAGAGAGTGTTTTTCTAATTAGTAAGAAGTGTTCAGTGAAAATTTTGGATACAAACATGGGCTTAGGCTGAGTCCACAGAAAACAAAAACTGTGGCACAAGGGTCTGGAGTCACTCAAATGAAAATCTGTTCGGGGGATTTCTTAGATTTTATGTTTCCTGCATTGATATTCAAGATGTGCAGCTGTACTTACCATTGCTGCCAGGCAAGAAGGATAAGCAGACATCCATAACAAATCCATTTCCAAACTGCAGAATTTCAATGCATTTAGCTGGAAAACAGGAACAGACAGTGTTGATCTCACTCACTCTAAGTATTACAGTTACACTGTCATTTCCTACTACATTTTATAGTTAAAATTTCCCATTCATTTTTATTTTAAGGAGCTCAAAAATTTCTGCATTTTTTCAGAAACCTAAATAATAACATTATCTTCTGTGGGACCAGAGAAATTCATGCAGAGCTAGTTGAATTAGAAGATAAGTCACTATTCTCCACTGAGTATTAGATCTGCACAGCTTCACTGTGGTAGCACATCAGAAGTGATAAATATTGCAAAATATATCCTGTGGCAACAGCATTCACTACACAGGAAGCAAAAATTGAATGTATTTGCTACAAGAGCAGCTAGAGTGATGAACAAAAACCTACAAACTCCACTGAGTTACTAGAAATGGTTAAACTGGTAAACAATCACGATCAAAATAAACAATGGGATAGCAGAAAAACCTCTCTACAGCAGAAGAATTGGCCCCTCCATCACTGAAGCCCAGGACAGCATGACAAAATGAAAACAACAGGATTTCATGGGCTTCTTTGGGAGCATGAGAAATGCCTTCCAGCACACAGGACAGAAGACTGGCAACTCCCACCTCCCTCTCTCATATAGGCAAGGCAATGTGAAATCCTCAAATGCACCAGATAAAGAAGAAAGAGATGCAGTCACTACAACTCAACTAGCAAATGATATTTTAAATATAGATCATCTACCCTAATTACTTCTTAATTATTTCAAAAAGCTGATTTTTCCTCCATGTGTCCATGCAAGGACCTAGTTCACCAGAAGGTCAAGATCCTGTTATCCCAAACTTGACTGAACTCCAGTCAATAGTAACAAACAAGCGACTAGCTAAACCTCACCTTTCTAATGTCAGCATTAATCATTTTATTAAGTCATTTTAGTTCACACACACAGCTATAGTCTGCTACCACATTACTGGGCAAAATTATGGTCCAGGTTATCAGATTCTGAATACATATTAAAAAAAAAAAGTACCAAAGTAAATTCAGCCAACACATCTGACCCAAGGCTTTCAAAAAGCAATAGTGTTGTAATGTACCAAAGTTTGAAAAGAAATCAATGTAGCTGTATTTAAAGATGTTAGTATTTAGTCAACCAGTTCAGTGGGTAAGCATTCATAATTTTTATTTAGCCAGAATGTTTCCCCCAGTGTTAAAACAATGTTACCTTCTGGACCACACCGAGACCAGACTCTCACAGTAGAGTCAGAAGCTGCAGAAGCTATTAGCAGGTTTAAACCAGGTTCATCTGACTGGTAGACAGCATCCACAGCACAAACAGCTTCCGTGTGGCCTTTGAGAGGAATGCTTTTCACAGCCTGAACACAGGAAAAAAATTCACAAAGTTTTAAATTCCAGTAAAATAATTTAATACTGAAAATGAGTTGCACACCTGCAACAGCAAAGCATCTGCCAAGCTATGCTTAAGCTATAGCATTCCAGGAAACCCAGAGAAGGGATACAGCAGTAATGAATAATAACTTGATAAGATTTTGCTCAAAGCTGAACAGAATTAAATGTTCTTGTGTACACTATACAAACCTCACCATTCCTTGAGAAAAGTTGGAAACAGTATAGAAGTTAGGAAGAGCAGTTTTCCTTCCTTTCTCTCCTTCTCTTGTCCCTCAGACCAAGGAGCAACTCATCGAACTTTAGAGAACCTTAGTGGAGGAGACAGTAGAGCACACAGCGGAATAAAGCTACAGCAGCTCTAGCAGCAGTGTTGAGTGTGTTCTCACAAATCAAAACAGTTTTTTGCTCTTTTGAAACATTGACATGAAAAACAAAACCTTCACATTTAGATGTAAGAATCTACTTTCTTCACCAAAGACTACAGGTGATTCAATTTGCAATCTGTTCCTCACAAACACAACAAGCAAAACGAGATTTTAATTCTGCAACATGAAGTCACACAGCATTTATACAGATTTTATCATAAACACACTTGACATCTCTTTCCAAAATATAGCCTGGTAGGCTTCAAGAATTTTTGATTGGTCCAACATAGAACTTTGTCTGTTTTTAAGAATTTACACTAGTCTAGAATTGTCATTAAAATAGGTGCATTCAGCCACATCCTTTTCCAAATATTGTCATAATGCTCTGCACCACATGAGCAGAAAAAAAGTAATAAAGCCTGCAAGTTATCTTAAATAGATGTTTACAACTGATGGTTACAAATGGTTACAACTGATCAGGACCAGAAATAACTTATTTCTGAGAACATTCCCCCATAGAACCAGTTGCATTTCCCCCTACTATGCATTCTTGTGCATTTTGAAATGCCAAGTCTAATCTAGCTTGAGACAGCTGATGAAATGGGTGACTTTACACAGCCATTCACAAACCAGTATCTAATAAGGAAAATTTTAAAAATTAGGTAGAGGGTTTTTTCCATCTAAAATTCAGCTTATTCTGAAGGCTCTTTTACACAATACTCCATCTTTTGCCTCATATTTTACAGTATGAATAATAAATTCCTACTGCATTCAAGTATGTCTCCTTACTTTCCTCAGTTTCTCTGACAAAACTCAATTGTTGCACAGATTTTTTTATTTTTGTTTTGTTAAACACCTACCCCAACTTGCATATCATCCTGGTAAGATCACCTATACACAAACACTACACTGTTACACAGACTGACTGGAAATCACTAGAAATGGGTATAGTGACATGAGGAAGAAGGGTACAGGAAAAGTCAGCTCAGAGTGGATCTCACAGTTTGTAGAGTCTAAGGTGGTTTAAAGAAAAGTGCTACGTGAGATCAGAAAGCTGAGGAGTCAAGAACAAATAGGATACACAAATCCACCTGATGACTGGTTAGTTAATTCCTTTACAAATGCTGATTTGAAAAAGATGAACCACAGAAAAGAGGAGACGTTTATAGCAAAACACAGCATGACAGAACACCAACAATTCCAAGGAGACACACATGAGGTTCAATAGTCAAAGTAAAATGAAGAGGTATGAATCAGAAAAACAGACAAAACAGATGGTGATATGTGAGACACTAGTGCAGAGGAAGCTTTGAAAAGAGCTTATTCCTGCTTACCTGACTAGTCCATGCTCCTGTACCATTGCATTCCCAAAGAATAAGTTGTTTATCAGATCCACCAGAAATGAGCTCTGTTTCAGGAGCTAAAAAATACATTTTCGTAAGTTTTGCGAACACTTAACTTTGTAACAGCAAACATTAGCAGTTACATTGGATGCTACTCAAAAAATACCAATGGTAACCAAAGTTTCCAACAAAATAAAGTAAGGCTAATAGGAGTTGCACTGTGTGGAACAGTTTAAGAGCAAAGGAAGGAGAAAAGTCACATGAACATTTCAAGTTCTGCATTAATGTGATAAAAGCACTTTTCCAAAAGACTCTCAAATCCAACAGTGTGAATTAATCTTTTCTTTTTCTGTTTAGTCTTTTTGGAGGGTGGAGAAACAAAGCAAAAAAATCTAACCAAACAGAATTCAAAGCTCCACATGAACACAATTTCTTTTGACCAGTTTTAAGAACATGTTTTAGTGCAGCCAGGTCAAAGGATGGCAGTTTACATACCTACTGAAAAATAACATTTTCACCTCAGCACTTCTCTGTGAAAGCAACTGGGACATTACATTAACAATCTAATCTAGTCGAATCCCATTTCTCCTTGTCAGTGAGTTTTCATATACACCTATGGGCAAGAACATGTGCCTTTGAAAAGTCTGCTCTGAGCAATGTTAGATCGTGGAACTACTATCAAGCAAAAGCTTCCCGAGTATCTCAAACATTTCTATCTATCTGAAGAACGTATTTTCTCGTGGATATGACCTCTATGCAACTTAGAGCTTTACAACCAGATTGCTTAAAACTCATGGCGAACCAGTGACAGAATCGAAACACGCAAACCCCAAACCTTGCTAAAGATGCCAGTGGCCGCAGCCAAGCCGCGGCGAGCCACAGGCAAACACCCTCCCGGAGTGCTCTTAACTGCAGGGTCCGACCGCGTCTCCCCGCTCACCTCGGTCCGGCAGGCCACGTTCCTGCGGAGTCACCTGTCAAAATCCCTACGGGGAAGCTTTAAGGCGAAAGGATGCGTTGCGAGCGCTGCAGCTCTTTATTTCCTTCTGATTAGAGCAGAGCCCCTTGCTGCCCACCCTCCCGCGCCCCCAGCCCCGGCAAGGGCAGCAG